TGGCAGGGGATGACATGTCGGAATTGATATTGATGCTCTGAAGATGCTTGTTGAGTCTAACCCAAGGCAACACACTTGTACAATGGCCCTGAAAGTGCATGTCTCTCATGAAACAATACGTAAACATCTAAGGAATAGGGGAAAACTCCATAAAGAAGGTGTTTGGGTGCTTCATGAACTCTCCCATGATCATTGTTTCCAATGTGTGAACATTGCTTCACCTCTTCTGGCACGTAATGCACATGAACCATATTTGGACAGAACTGTCACCGGTGATGAAAAATGGATTCTCTATAGGAATGTTAAATGCCAAAAACAATAGCTCAGTTCTAGACAAAAAACACTTCCGATCCCAAAACCTGGACTCCATCAGCAGAAAGTGATGCTCTGCATTTGGTGGGACATTAAAGAAGTAATTCATTTCAAACTCCTCAATCCATAGTGAACTGTCAATGCAGAAATCTATAGTCAGCAACTGGAACATTTAAATCAAGCCCTTCACTCGCCAATCAGAATAGGTTCTTCTTCTCCATGACAATGCACATCAATGCATGTTTGATGCAACACAAGATTATGGAGTTGGGTTGGGAAATTCTCCCCCATCCACCACATTCTCCAGATATGGCACCATCAGATTACCATCTTTTTCATTTGCTGCAACACCATCTTAATAGGAAAATGTATGCAAATGTGAAAAGTGTTAAAGAGAACATCAACATGTTTTTTGCTTCAAAGTCAAGTGATTTCTTTAATCAGGGCATTAACAACCTGATTGTAAGACTGAAAAGCATCACCAATAAGAATGGAGACTATTTCATTTAATAAATGTTTTGTTTTGATATATAAGTTGTTTGGGTTTTTTCATCTAAAAAAATGTGACATTAATTTCTTGACGACCTAATAGAAACAGATCAGGTACTGCAACCAACAGAAGAGTAAAAGAAATCCTACTGGTTTGAATATATTCAATTTTTATATAATCAACTGCTATAAGACAATTATGTGATACAACAAAAAATATTAACTATATCCTTTTATAATTAACTACTTAGCAATTACATGATTTTATATAAACTAGGAACTATCCGTAAAAGAAGTTCTCTATTGGCTTTGAAAAAACAACAATTTTGAAGTGAAATCAGATGAAAGTAATTTTAAACTTTAAATGTTTATTATGGACATATGCTAATTATCATTACAGAATGAAAAATTATACGTGTATATATGTATACATTCATTTCACTTCCACATAGAAACAGATTATTTTGTTAATATCCTATAGAAAATTTAAATCTCTACACTATGTATATTCACACCTTTTTTTCTGGAGATAGAAGAATACTTCTGGTGGGAGTGGCATTACTATTCCAGGTAGAAAAGCTCTCTTCCTCTTCTTCTGGTTCACCTTCTTCTTTATGCCATTTTTCATGATCTTTCTCTAATGACTTATCCTTATATTTCAAATTTAGACACTCAAATGAACCTGATGTTGAACTACACGAAGTACCAGTACTGCTGGTGTCATCTGTATCACTCTCAACTTCAGATCTGTGAACATTATAGTTCACTGTATGAAGTACATTCACACCTCTTTCTTTCTCTGTTTCTTTGGTAGTGGATCCTACTTCTGGTAGATCAGCTTCAGCCAAAATGAGAGTTTTTAGACACTGATGTTTTCTTGTTACTTCTGCTTCTTCACAATGATCAATATCTTGGCTAGGAAAGAAGGTTAAGCTCTCCTCACCAGCTAGAATGTGTTCCCCTTCAAAAATCAGTTCACCTTTTGGACTTTCTAAAACTAAGGGATAACTATTGTGATGTCTGCTTGAAGAAAATGATTGCTCATTGAAACCAAATAGTTCATTAGGCAATTCCTGAATCACTCTGGATTGATCATTAGCATCTGGTTTCTGACTGACTGATTCAATGGGACTTACTCTGCTAGACAGTGAATTAAAGGAAATACAGTTGTTCTGACCTGTTATAGAAGAAACACCATTATCTTCTCCAGATACCAAGATGTCAGGTGTTTGCTGTGACAATTTGAAGAACTCGCTGTTACCTTCATGAATAACTTCAAGAGCAGAATTTGAATCAAAAATACCTTGATCATCATGAAGTAATTCAGAAGAGTCAAAATAATCTTGTTTCAATGAAGTAGAACACATTCCTTTCTTTCTGTTTTCATACAGTATGCAATCTGTTTTCACTGAAAAAGGCTGAATTTCATTTACATTGGACCTTTCACCTAATTTTTCTACATTGACAACATCATCTAAGATATAATTCAATTGGTTCTCAGCATGACTTTCGGAAGTGTCTGTATAAGACATCTTTTCACTCTGCCTCTGGATTGTCTCAACAGTTTCATCAATAAAGTCATCACTTGGTTTGTCAACATTTAGTAACCTGTTACTTTTCAATGGAGCATCACTGTTACCATTGTTAACATGAAAAGAATCTTGTAATTGCTGATCTGCAACAGAATCATTAGGAACACTTTGTGCTTTATCTTTATTGTCACTATCATTTTTGACATCATTATCATCATCACCGATATCCTCACAAAATGGCAACATCTCTACTTCTTCACTGACAGCCATAATGTTTGCCATCTTTGGTGCCAAGTTGGATGTACTTTCTTCAACAATTTCAAAGCTTTTGGGTGAAGAAATAATGGTATTTTCACCAGTCATTGTTTCAATATCAGGATTTATCATGGGAATAGTTTCAGAAGTTATTTTTTCAGACTCTGATGTTTCACAAATGTAACAGCTGTTACTGGAAATACTTTCAGACGACAACTGTTTGATAGGTCTGTTAATAGCATTAAACTCTTTAGGTGGTAAGGATTTATGTATCCATAATGTTGGATCACAATAATCATGTTCTCCAAATTCTAAAGACTCCTCGACTGTTATGTCATGATGCTTGTCTTCTTGTAATTCAGACACTTCTGTGGAAGCACTGGGTAAGAAATCACTATTATGATTGTCTTCTATACTTGTAGAGGACCCCAAGTATAAGTGCTCAGTATTGTAATGCACATTATTTATTGTATAAGTAAGAGGTTCTCTTGTCTCAAGCATTGTACATTGTTTATTCTTGTCTGAAAAAATATTAGTGCCAACACCCAAATTATTCTCAGAATTGTCACCACAGGCACATGTATTATGTTCAGTGACACTATTATTTTTTTTCTCAATGGTTTGCTTATTTATCCCTATCAACTGAAAAGCAGATGATGATATTTGTGGATTGCTTTGTTCAGATATATTATCACATGCTAGTTCTTCTTTGTCATCAATGCCACATTTCTTTTCATCAATGGAAGAAACAGTAATGCCAGAATACACATCAGCAATATATCTATCACCAGCTTCTTCTATATCCATTGTAGAAAAACCACATTTAATATCGGTTTTCTCCTGAGTTACATTATTACTTGATTCAAATGAGGAAGATAATATTTCTTGATGGCTCTGTTTAAATATATCATTGCATACAATTTCCTCCAGCTGTTTATCAGATTCAGCTTGAAAATTTTCGTTATTAATACTTTGCTCAAACTTCAGCTTATGATCTATGCTACTATCATAACCAGTGTTACTTCCAGAGATGTCCAAATAAACTTCTCTGCTGGGTGATGAAAGTCCATTACCACAAAAACCTTTTTGTTTTACACAGTTAGTTGAATGATCCTCAAACAATGGTTTTAAAGTTTTTGAACTTGTATGTTCAACCATCTTGCTATCCAAAAGTTCTTTTGGATGTTTGTCACTCTCTTGAATTTCATCAAACCTAATATCCTTTAATGAGCTACACTCGGTTATTAGACGACTTGAAAATGTCAAGTCTTCTGTATTCTCTTCAAGGGCACTACCTGTTGAAGAAACCTGAGGCACAAAACATGCAAAATTATTTTCTGTCAACAGATGATTTATGTTTTTCTGTTGAAAAGTTCCTATCAATTGCTTATCTCTTAAGTTTATAATACTCTCACCATCGTCTAAAACTGTACCCTGGTTTTTATTTATTGACAAGTCCAAAGATTCACAACACACACTAAGCTGCTCTACATTATCTTTCTCTACAGCTAAATTCTTCACTTGTCTTTTTTTGTTTCAAATCCATTCTCTGATTTTAAATCCTGAACACCATCTTCTTCATTTTCCAGACATTCCTTTGGTGGAATTACTGGTTTCTCTTTTACTTCAGAGTTGAAATTATCCTCATTGAACATAAAAGTTGACAAGTTATTTAAATCATCAATAACACTATATTTTTGCTGAAATACATAACCTTCTTCACCTTCATTTTTTTCTATTTCATCATCTTGTCCAAACAACTTTTCTTTGTCTTTGCACAAAACAGCTCTACCTAATTTAGATTCATAAGCCCCAAATTGTTTATTTTCAGTTTCTGGTAGTCCACAAAATAAATCCTCTTTACCAACATAATCAGCTGTGACAGCAATCATTTCAGGGCTGTACAAGTAATTATCACTTAAAAATGAAAACCCAGAGTTTTCAGAACTTAAATCTTTCTCAGTAGCTGCTTTATCAAAACAGGTTTGTAAAACATGCATTGGTTTTTCCTTTTCTAATGAATGAAAACTTCCAGTAGAAATATGTTTCACGAATGGATCTTCCCCACTAATCATAGAGTTTGTGGAGTCACACTGGACACTTGATTTATTTTTACAGGAAAATGATCTTTCTGTTTCCACAGAAGTGTCAAATGAAGTATGTTCTTTTCTCTTGCAATTCTTCTCAACAGAAAGCAACTGACCATCCTTCAAAGAACTGCTTATATCTAATTGTGTTGAAACATCTTGCTCTAAATTTTCACTGTCTTCCTTCTCTTCATAATCCTTTCCCAATAAATTTGTCAGTATTGTTTCTGAAGAGTTTTCTTCTAACATAAAATTCTCAGATATTTTTTCATAAGAATCTGAATTTACTCCATCAGGCTCCCCAGAACTTGTATGGCTTTTATCAGTCAAGGTCAGATCAGTTGTACAGAGACTTACTGTTGTGTTGTACAGCTGCATTTTTAGACTCTTGTGGTTAGTACCCTGAAAAGTTATTACATCAGATTCACTATCAACATTTTCAGTGTCAGATTCAGTAAGTTCTAACACTTGTTTATTAGATAGAAGTTCATCAGTAAAGGGAAAATCTTCATCTTTGCCTAAGTTACAATGTTGAAAAGTTCTTGTTAATGGGGAATACTGAGAGCCTGGTATTTTGAAACTACTACTGATGGCACTTTTATTCAAATCATCATTCTGTTTATCATGACTGTCAAAATCATCAAGTTCTACTGGTTCGATACTGATCTCTGCAGTTGTAGCATTGGCTATTAAAACCTCCTGAACTCTGTTAGTAGTTTGAAGGTCATTCTGGAACATATCTCTGGAAGTAAAAAAAGTCTTAGTTAGGTTGCATAGAGGTACAAAATTTTCCTCAACTGGAGTGGCATTGATAATACCAGATTCTTCAAGCCCAGTGGAGGTCATTAGTTGTGTCATTTCTGTAGATTGCATATTGACTCCATCTTGATAAATGGATTCATTTTTGTCTTTACCATCCAAGTTTTGATATGGTAGTAGTTCTGTTGCAGGTATCTCCTCTTTTCCTGTGATGTGTTCTGCCTGAACTGATGACTCTTCTACACTCCTTTTGAGGTTCTGTAAGCTAGGAGATATACTTTCATGTAGTTCTTCATCACCTGTTACAAAAGATTCATAAGATGGTGTTTCACATGGCAACTGGGATAAGTCTGTGGAAGACATTGAGCTATCTATTTTTTTAGCATGGCTATGTACAGTGGTTTCAGGAACAAAATTATTTTCAAATTTCATGCTGTGGCTGGAAGCATCTATAAAAGGAAGACTATATTCTCTAGGAAATGTATGCAAGGCTTGCCATTTACTCTCAAAGTCTTCATTCCCAACAGACATGACATTTTTGTTCTTATACAAATGTGTCAACAAAGTTACCAGTGTGTGCATCTCAAGTTGTTCCCCACTTTCAACCCAGCAAAGTTTCATAACCTGATATCTAGGAGATATGATAAAATAACTATGTTTAAGCCAATAAACCATAAATTTCACTTTAAGATATCAGAGAATTTCAAAATCATAGTTTGAGTACAATAATTTCATTATAAATATTTTCTTAACAAAAACAAAATAACAGTGATGCCATTTTTAGACTTCAATTTCTAAGATCTTACATTTTTATACAGAACAATTTTATTTATTTGAAAACTACTATAAAAATTTGAAAGAATTCAATTCCGGTGAAGACCTGTAATCTTTAAAGGTGAAAGCCAATATGCATTCGAAATTCTATTAATTCCAAAAGGAAGGCATCTCCATGACTTTCTAACGTGTCATTACTAACTTTAAAAAATATGAACTGATTGCTTGAAACAGAATAATATCAAAAGATATGAAACAACAGTATAGTTATTATCATAGCACAGAAAACAAAATACACATGAATTTAGCTAACTTACACATAAAGGAACATTAATCACCACATTAAAATATTCATTGCTCCTATATAGACTACAGTTCATAATTTTACATAAATACATCACCCTCTGTATACTATAAATTAATGTATTGTTGATTTTCATATTTGATCTATTTTACAACACATTGGTGTAAATGGAAATTCTACTTTGTCAGCAAATTTCCAAACAAAATATCTCACTTTCATCACACATAAATTTTAACATACATTTTGTCAATATGAGCACAGGCTGTAGTAGGTTGATCCAGCAGTATCGTTTTTTCAATAATAACTTTCTGAATGACATCATCATTGCTAAGCTCCTGGTAGGGCAGTTTCCCAAACTCAAACAACTCCCATAAAACTACACCAAATGACCTAAAGTATGTCAGAAACACAAAATATAATATTTTAAATTGTATAATTTTATAGTAAAAACCTAGCAAAAATCACTAACAGTTTATTACATTATTGTAACTCAAGATTATTCTATGATCCATAATTTGTTTTAATAGCACATTGTATAAAATAAAACTAGTACTTGGAGTAAGGTCTGATCCAGATTTACTTAGAGGATGGCAAAAGGCAGAAAGTTTCATATGAAAATGCCACCTTTTTGGCATAAAAAATACAGGAAATAATTTATAACTTAAGAGAAATCAGCAAACCACAAAATATGCAACTATTATCAACATAAATATACAAGAGTAAAATACAACTCTGGGTCAAACATAATAATATAAATATATATATATATATATAGTTGAATACATTATATTAAAATGATTTTAGAGCCTCAGAAAACTATGTCGCCACTTCTGGTCATGTTCTATCTGACAACCATGCATCTTGACAATAGTCTTGCAGTTTAGTTTTCATTGCAAAATGCTCTGTCATAAGATTGTTGTATTCAAAGTACACTAGATGGCTTTACATAATCTAGTAAGGACAACTGCATGAGTTAACAAGTATGTCTTTGTATGGAATAGCATGAATACCATTTCATTTTCTAGTTGCTTGAAGTATGTAACTGTTGAATTGGAGGAACAACTGGAAGCCTTGTCAGCCTTATTTCCAGACAGAGATCTTTCTTCATTATGTCGCATATTGGTACCTGGGACACGTGGATGGCTTTTTCCACTGAACTTTGTGCTCATGGATTCTAACCTGTTTCAAATTGCCACACTTTGCTTATCATGGCTTGGGTATTGTTCCAGGACTCTTTATGGATGATCCTGATGCTCCAAGCTAATCCACATTCCTTTGTTTTCTGGTGCCGTGTATAAGGGATAAACTTATCTTAGAAATTCTAAATCCCTGATTTGAGCACAACTTTATGATCTGAGTGTATGACGATTTTTGCATCTAAAAGAGCTGTTACATACTCTTCCCCCCCCAAAAAAAAAGTAAAAAAGTTTAATTTTTTTGGTGGCAGCACACTACCTACAAAATGCCAAGCAATATCAAAATGTAGTTATGATACATCTGTTCCACCATGATTTTATACTGACTGTAGTTGTCACATAACTTGCTGATTTGCATATTAAAAATCATTTTAATACAACATATTTAACCCTCTGTAGTACAACTAAAAAATATTTTTACATAGAAACAACTAATGTTAAAACAACACACGAAAAACACATCATGTAACAAAGACTGTAAAATGAGTTTCTCTTCTTAATATTTAGTAATAAGATTTATTGGAAAATTCAAACATTAACTTTCTGAAAAGATACATACAGATTTAAAAATAACTTCTTTGAACATAATTGAAAAAATGTGGTTAATTAAACCATCCGATAGATTGATTTTTGATAAGTGTCTGGGTGCAAAATTCACATTCTCACATAGAATTGCACTGTCTTACTCTTAATTAAACTTTGTAAACAAAAGTTCCAAAGTTAGTCTTATTATTACTTTGGAATACAATATTTATAGAAGAAATCAACAAAATACTGTAATGGCAAAATACACTGAACACTAGTAATATCTCTACAATTAACTTGTATCTTTACGTATTCATTAGATGAAGTCCCATGACATTAAAACATAGTTATGTGAAAGGTTTTCAATAACACAGAATTTTGTTAAAATAAAAAAAAATATTTTTTGCAACTAACGTGTTATATGTAGTTTTATCTTTAACTACATCCAGAAAATTCCAAATTCATATATATCATTAGATAATCATCAACTTCCAATCATTTACGCTACACCAAAGCTGCATAAACATTCAAGATCCATTTTATTGCAAGTTAAAACGAAAACTGACTATTTAAACAGCCTCTATTATGTTCAACAACTTGGTGAAATATATTAAGAAAAATAACGCATCTGGTGGATTACATATAATAGACTAGAAGTCACATAGAAAATTTCTGCTCTGAAGACAACCTTACATCTGAAAATGTTTGATTGTACAACTTTATACACTGAACTAGAAGATCCTGTTCAAGTAACTTCTATTTTAACTGAATAATTCTTCTTGCAATAACATTAGTTTAACAAAAATCTAATATAAAACTTACTTGCATAATATGTTTATAATAAAAAAAACAAAAAAACTGCTTTTTTAAACAATTTTATTATAAAACACTCATTAGTATATGTGTGATAAAAATTTACTCAAATCTATCTGAAATAGTGAATAGGCCTAATTAATTGTAAGGCCCTAAGAATTTTATAATGAGTTAAAGAAAATGAACAACTTTTTAAACATTCTTAAAACCATACACTACATGCAATAAAAAATATTTTATAATATACAGAGTATATAAGCTTAAACACTAGCAATGACATTAGAGGGGCTGTACTTTTATTTTTATCTCCATGGCAGCATGTTAGCTAACTGCATGTTATGAAGCCCTTCTTAATCATGTATTCCTTATTCTTTTTCTCATCTTCTTTCACTTCTCTCACTACATTTCTAAATATCTAATTATTAAACCTGTTTATACATTATTTTCAGTCTATTTCTCTTGTAACTAACCCAATGAAATTTATAAACGCTTTGCCATTTATTCATAGGGGGCTATATGGCAGCTGTCCTTTAAAACTTCTGTATATGTAGAAAAAATAAATTTACTCTTTAACTTGTTTTACAAAAAGGATAGAGCTAATTAATGGTAATGTCTTGTCATTTAAAATTCTTTTTCAACAATTTCGTTTAAAACTATGTGTCAGATTTTGAAAATCTAACACATATATACAAGTTCTTCTTTTTGCCAGTTGTCGAAATAAATGGCTTTTACTTATATTTCTTAATAGTATAAATATATATATACTACATTGTTGTTGGGCTTAGGATTCTTCTACAGTAGGT